CACCAGATGGAACACACAGGAATCAGATTGACTACATCTGTGGCAAGAGACAGTGGAAAAGCTCAATATCTTCAGCCAAAACCAGGCCAGGAGCTGATGGTGGAACAGACCATCAACTGCTCATATGCAAATTCAACTTGACATTAAAAACAATTAAAACAAGTCCAAGAGAGCCAAAGTAGGATCTTGAATATATCCCTCCTGAATTTAGAGGTCATCAAAGAATAGATTTTATGCATTGAACACCAACGACCGAAAGCCAGGTGAATTATGGGAAGATATCAAGAACCTTATCCATGAAGAAAGCAAGAGATTACTAAAAAGACGAGAAAGGAGAGAAGACCAGAGTGGATGACAGAAGAGACTCCGAACCTTGCCCTAAAGCGGAGAATAGCTAAAGCAAATGGAAGAAATGAAAAGGGAAAAGGGCTGAACAGAAGATTTCAAAGAGCAGCTCGAGTAGACAAAACCAATTACTATAAAGAAATGTGGAAAAACCTGGAGTCTGAAAACCAAAAGGGAAGAACATGCTTGGCATTTCTGAAACTGAAAGAACTGAAGAAAAGGCCCACCCTTCCTTCCGAGGAGCGGCTGGTGCGTTTGAACCGGCAGCCTTCTGGTTAGCAGTCACGTGCCTTAGGCACTATGACACCAGAGCTCCTGAAATACTCAAGAGGAGCAAGGAAATTCTTTCATTTTAAAAAAGGCAGAATTTTGTCCCACAGACAAACTGGCAATTAGGAACTTCCTCAACACCCCTAGGGTGTCTTTTATTACGGAAATCCGCTTTCACGTCATAAACGGATTGAAGAACCTCTAGGCTTTCCTCCAGGGAGGAGGTAAGCAGTGTTGAGATACATACAATGCCTGCCCCGGAACCACTGACTCCCATGGTCACCAGGGGACCACTCGGTGCTTCCCCCACGCACTCGTCCTTAGCTGCACCGAGCCCCCGGAGGCCGGAAGCGGAAGTGTGCGTCCTTGGCTAGGACAGCAGCTGCGTGCTTCATTAAGCCTCATCCGGTGGGAGGTAGGTTTTAGTCCCTCGCCGTTGGGCCTGCTCCCTTTGCGGTTACTCGGAGGCTCCGGTCCCGCCCGGCGGCCGCAGCCGCTTTCTGGAGCCAAGCAGCAGGGAGGGACCTGCGTCTCTCGGGGCGGGAGCAGGTAACTTGGCAGGACCCCTGCCGTGTCCGTAGCCAGGGTTATAGGAAGGGCCCGTGTGTGAACTCAGGGTCCGGTCTGTTCTTCCCTCAGGGCTGAGTTCCCGACCCCAATTTCCTACCGGAAACGGCTCCTCTT